TAACTAATTCATGGAATCAAATAAAACCAATGGCTGTCCGACGCTCTAGTTTTTCATTAATTTCACATTTAGGATATTTATATGCAATCAGTGGTCCATTTATTGAACGATATAATCATCTAACAAATGAATGGTCATATGTTTATAATTTTATAAATCCTGTGTAATATATATTTATTAATTGTTTAAATAAACACACAATAATTAATCTTAATTAATTGTTTTATTTTTAATTCATAGATTCTCTTATTATTATGATCGGTAATGTATATAATTGTTTTTTTTATAAAATTAAATTTTATAAAATTTCTTAATTTTTTTTAATCAATTGATAATATTTTTTTATATAAATTATTATAGAAACAATTTTGTGGCTGTTCGTAGTGTTTCATATATGAATTATATTTATAATTTTATAATTATGAAAACTGATAACAGTAATAGGAATTTGGTATTTAAATACAATCCATTAAATAAAAATTTTGAAGACTTATGTAAATATTTAATTTAATTAACATTTTATTAATCAATTTTTCAACAATTCATCAATTAATTTTTATATATATTTATTTTAATAATTTTTTTATTTAATTTTAGTTACTTTAGAAGCCAAGAGTTTCTGTGAGATAATTGTTTATAAAAATACTTTACTTTATTTTTTTAGAAATGATGAATTAGGTAATTATAAATAATTAATTTTATATTTAAAAAAAATTTTAATTACAAAATATAAATTTATTTATTATTATTTGATTTATTTATAATCAATTTTAATACTAAGATTTTCTAATATATAATTCTATTTAAACAGAAAATTCAGTTAAAATATTAAAGAATGGTTCTTGGATTGATAAACAATTAGATTTACCTGGCTTATTTTTTTCGGTAAATAAATTTTTATTTTAATACAATTAATATATATATATATACTGTATATAACAAATTATTATATTAATAGATAAAGTGATAATAAACTTTTGTTATTAATAGATAAAACTAATATTAATAATAATAACAATTTAATTAGCAATTATTTTATTCAGAATAAAAACTAATTTTTTTAAAAATATTTAATTAACAGATTATCAACTTTTCAAACTAAATACTTATAAATCAATAACTAATTACAATAATAATAATAATTTATATATATATAAATAATTGTTATTATTATAATCAAGACTACATAATTAAAATGAATAAATAATAATAATAATAGTTTAACTTAATTAAAATATTTTTTATATTATAATTTAATCTGTAATAATTAAAAATTAATGTATTATTATATTTTCAGTTAGGCGTGGTTCACATATTACGTTCGCACTTGAAGGGTGGGGGGGGTTAGCCAAAGCGAATTTTTGCAAACGAGGGAGGGGAGGGGTAGAGACTTTAAGAACGTTAGCATTTAGATAATATTTTATTTCTTGTGGTGGGGGGGGGGGGGGTAGCGGTTAGCGATATACGAACGTAATTTTTTAAATGATTACATGAGAACAATTGCGATCACAGGGGAGGGAGGGGGGTCTAGATTTCTTAAAAAGTGCGAACGTAATAAGTGAACCACGCCTTATTAAACTTTTTCATATTATATATTATTTAATTATAAAACGTTTTTAATTATAGTAATCAAATATATGTACTATTTTTTGTATTTACTTAACATGTTATCAACTTTTCTAACTAAATAATTATAAATTAATGAATGATTACAACAAAAATAATTATTATTTTTATATAATTTTTATAATTATCAATTAAAAATTGTTAAATAACTAAATTTATTAACATAATATTTAGCTATTGATTGAAATATGTATTATAATTCTATATATTAAAATTTTACATATTTTAGAAATCAAATAAATTTATTATTTATCTTAATTGTTTATATTAAGACACAATTACAAAAATGTATGTAAATTTTTTTTATTAAATAATAAAAAAGATCATTAAATATCAATTTATAAAATTTTATTAAAACTATAACTGTTTTTAAAACTATCTATTAATTCAATTATAGTTAATATTTAACTTTCATTAAACTATTAATTAAATAATTGTTTAAAATGTTTTGTTTGACAACATTATGTAAGTATTGTTAACTTTATTATTACAATTTAGTTGTATTTATATCAATATATTATAAAATTAACAGAAAAAACAAATAGTTTTTAAAAACTTTTAAAGTCTTTATCAGTGTTTGCAATGTTGTTGATGTTGTTGTGTTTGGCCTACAAATCGGTGATTATCCGGACATTACTAATACTACTGACTGTGGTATCGGTCGTGAGTCGCAACTGATGACCGACCGGTGCTTTGAATGGCACAGTAGTCGTGATTTAATGAACACTTCCTCCTCCTTGTCCTCAATAGTCAACGGAAGGGACGCAAAGAGGGCTGAATTGACATATATTGTATACATTGAGGAGTGGATAGACAACAAACTCAGGTATTTTGACTTTTTAAATATATATATAGTATATATCTATTGTATTAATAACTCTCTCTATCTATCTATCTATCTATCTATCTATCTCTTTGACTAAAAATATATATTTATAATCTTATATTTTATATAAATCCAGTAATTAGTATACGGGAACTGTAGTCAACCAGCACTGGATACTGACTGCTGCCCACTGTTTTGATGATAGAGCCGACTCTACATATAAAATATATGCGGGAATTATATAGATATTATAGATATCCGGGTATTGATTATGGTATCAATAAAGTCAATTCAATACGAAAACTATTGGCAATCATTATCTCTGATTAATGTGAAAATAGCAATGAATTTCAAACGTGATATATATTTATATAAATTATTATAATATAAATTAATTTAAATAAAATGTGTTAAAATTACCCAGTACTAACATTTAATTAAATAAATAAATAACTGATATATATTCAATTACACAGTTAGTATAAAATCACAAGTTTTTTTTATTGAAAAAAATATAAAAAAATATTACTAAATATTAATAATTTTTAAATAATTAATATTAAAAATGTTGTTTAAATTAAAAGTTTAATTAAACGACATTTTTTTAATCAATTTATTGTCTTAATTAAAAAAAATGATAGCGTATTTTTAATTAATTAATTATAGAATTATTAGTTATTTTCATTAAAAAACAAAAAATCTCCACATAATCATTATATTAATAGTACAACTTTTAGATAATAAGTAATTTTTTTTAAATTTATTGATTATAGATTATTTTACAATTATTATTATTTAATGAAATTATATGATTTATATTTAAAATATTAGTTTTTTGTTTATTTAGACAATAATATATATTTTATATACAACAACAACAACATGAAGCAGTCATTGAAATCAATGGATAATATGATGATTATTCTAGTAGTAGTAGTTGTAGTAATCATTATACTGGACATGTCGTTAATGTGGTCACCTGTAGACGGTTTTCACCATCACCTTAGCCGCAGCCGCGGTCGCGGTCTCCGCCATCATCTGCACCGCCGTTGCCAACAGGACTGGCAATGCGGTCGACTATTTTATTGCGATCGCATATATGATATTTGTTTGCTATCGGAGGACAACAATAATGATGATAATTATTATGATAATTATGAAAACAATGATAACAAACGTATTAACAATTATTATAGTCCTTGGCATCCTGCGGGTTAAACCCTAATTATGGACTAAAATAAATCAATCAATAGTAATATACAGTATATATATATATATAATAAATAATTTATTTATTTATTTTCTATTTTAAAAAAAAGTCTGTATAATTATGCTATTTGCAATATATATAAATTATAATTATTATAAATTAAGATTATTAAATAAAAATCAATATGAAATATGAAATATATTATTTATTTTATGATCTGATTTTTACATAATACAAATATAATAAACTATTATAACTATAATATCAATACTTTGTTTTTTATTAAAAAAAGTAGATTTTTAATTTGTTGTAATCATGTTATTTACTAATAAAAATAAACTTACTTAATAACAGATATTTTTTATTAGTGTTATATGTTTAGTATAAATATTGATAAAACATAATTTTTTATATTTATACATTAATATACTGAGATATATAAATGTATATATATATATGTTAAATATATAAGTTAATATTTTTTTTGGCTAATTCAGTATATATATTATACAACATTAACTTTTTTAGTTGTATAACATTTTCTAGTATGTAATGTTATTGAATGATTAGTGAATGTTTAAAATATTATTAGTTATATTTAATATATTTTTAAATATATTTTTTTGTATATATTATTTTTGTTACAAATTAAAGTTATCTAAAATAAAACATTTAAAAAAACTTTAATAAACAAAAAAATTGAATTTCAATTTTTTAAATTAATAATAATAATAATAATACAATTTAATAAATATGTCTATCAATTATTCTGGCTATTATTATATTATCAAGTTTTTAAAATACAGCGGCAATGGTCACTATAGGATTGCCAATAATGGACAACATCAGCAAAAATGTCACCAAAAATTAAAAATCTTATTAAATTATTTATTCATATTTTATATAATAATTTTATATTTAATTAGTTTATTCAATAGTTTTAAATTTGTCTTCAAATCCCAGATACTTATCGACATTCATCTGCTATCCTATTCAATGATTTTTATTAAGACACTGATTGGCAGCTTATTATTGTTGATAAATGGCAAACAAATATATCAACTTTTATGGTCAGTTCATATTAGACATGTTAGACAAAAAATCGATGATAAGGGCTGGTTAGCTGCCATTGTAATTATTGTCGTACACTTGACAATTGTGACGGTACTGGAAATGCTAGCAATTGTCATTGATGTTTGGATTGATGGCCACCAACTAATCCAATGTCTATTAATTAGACTTATTTATTTGCCACTAGACAATGCTAGATTTATTACCATAACAATTATTGGCTATATTAATCTAATGGTATCAGCTGATATAAAACATACATTCAAAATGCATACAACTATCGATAAAATAAGTCAACTGGCCTATCAATTGCATCAGCTTAAATTGATCATGCAACAATTAAATAGTATATTATGGTTAGACATTGTGAGCATGATAATTTGCTCTACAATTGAATGTGCATGTTCAATTTGTCTAATAATTGTATCAAAATATCAACTTTGGCACGTATTTATAATATTATTAGTAAAGGGATTGATAACATTGGTGGCACTGGTTTATATTGGATCACTAAACTACCGGGCCTTTACATACGGTATTGATGAACTGGATAATCGTTTTATCAAAGACAGTGGTTATTTAGGTGTCGCCGAAACACGTAAACAGTATCGACGGGCGTTTGATATCATAAATCGTTTGAAACAATCGTCAAACGATATGTACATCAGTCCGGTAGACAATAGGCGGACACTGGTATCGCATATGGCTTTCAGTATAATCAACATTATTATCACATTAACAATAGTTTTTATAAAATATGAGACAACATAAATAGCAATACATTTTTTAAAAATAGTTATTATTATTATTAAGTATTGGATAATACTATAAGTTATAGTCTTATAAGTGTAAAAATATTTATCTTATTTTTGAATTGAAATTAATTAAATTAATAAATTCTTTTAAATAAAAAATATATATATTTATATAACTTATTGTTTCATAAATTTCAAAAAAAAACTAAAAACAAAATCAATGAATTGAAATTATTATTTGTAAATTCATAAAAAAATATAATATAAAAGTAAAATTATTTATTTATTTTTTACATATATATATATATATCACTAATTATTAATTGTATAGTAATTTTAATAATCATTATTTGGATAACTATCGAGAAAGCTTACAACAACAACAACAACAACAACAACAACAACTACTACTACTACTACTACTACTACTACTACTACTACTACTACTACCACTACTACTACTACTACTACTACTACTACTACTACTACTACTACTACTACTACTACTACTACTACTACCACTACTACTACTACTACTACTACTACTACTACTACTACTACTACTACTACTACTACTACTACAACTACTTTGAAATTAAATAAATAATTTTTTTTATTAAATTCATTATTTAAATATTTATAAAATGTATTTTATTACATAGTATTTGTTAAGATTGAGTAACAAAAACAAAAATATATTTTTAAGTTTATTATTAAATAATTTTTAAAAAAAACATATAAAATATCAATTTATGAAATTTAAGTATTTTATGAAAATCATATTAAATATAAAATTGTTTTATAAAAACTACATATTTATTCAATTTTAAATAATATTAATATTTAAATTTCTAATTAAAACATTTAATGTTTGGATAATTGTTAAAAATGTTTTGTTTGATAGTGTTGTGTAAGTAAACTTTATTATTATTATTACAATTATTATATATTTATAATAAAATTAATACAAAAAAAAAACAAATAATTATAAAAACTTTTAAAGTCTTTATCAGTGTTTGCAATGTTGTTAATGTTGTTGTGTTTGGCCTACAAATCGGTGATTATCCGGACATTACTAATACTACTGACTGTGGTATCGGTCGTGAGTCGCAACTGATGACCGACCGGTGCTTTGAATGGCACAGTAGTCGTGATTTAATGGACACTTCCTCCTCCTTGTCCTCAATAGTCAACGGAAGGGACGCAAAGAGGGCTGAACTGCCATATATTGTATACATCGAGGAGTGGAGAGACAACAAACTCAGGTATTTTGACTTTTTAAAAATATATATATATGTATATATTGTATGAATAACTCTCTGGGTGGTTGGTTGGGTGGGTGGATTGAGGGTGAGTATAAATCTAGGATAATCTCCAGTAAGGATAAGATAGCTTTATCATATCTCAGCCCCACCACAACCTACCGCCACCCCCTAATAGCGCCTCCAGATCCAACATTGAACATATATATATATATATAGATATTTATGTTATACTACAGTTCCAGGTGTACGGGTTCGGTACTCAACCGTAATTGGATTGTAACGGCCGGTCATTGTATGATAGATTGTTTGCCAGACGCTTGCAATTGGAAAGTATATCCGGGAATTGTGGACATCAATGATAAAGGAGACGACTATGGAGTCAAACGATTTATAATACATGAAAACTATACGAATCGGGTTAGCGATGACAACGATATTGCATTAATACAAGTCATGAAATCAATGAATTTTACGGCAAAAAGTGGTCAATACTATCGGCAAATAAATTCTATTTGTTTGCCGCAAAATGGTCTCAACAACACCGGCGGCGGCGGCTATAAGTATGCATTGATTGCCGGCTTTGGTTTAATGGCTAAAGAAGATAAGTATTACTTAATCGATGATCACATTCAACCTAATCGGCTACAAATGGGTTGGACTCGGGTATTGCCGGTCAAACCGAATGATAATCCCAATCACTTGACGGTCAATGTCTTTCCATTTCCCGGCGGTTCTCATACTTGCAATGTGAGTGAGTGAGTGAGTGAGTGAGTGAGTGAGTGAGTGAGTGAGTGAGTGAGTAAGTGATTGAGTAGTGTTTTTAATTTTTTAAAACTAAATAATGAACTAAAATTATTTTATAATCAATTAATTTAAATTATAGGGCGATTCTGGTGGTCCACTCATACAGTATATCAACGGTAGGGCTGTTTTAATAGGTGTGGCGTCCAGTACTAGGCTATATAAAGCTACTTATAAGTGTGTATTAGAGGAACAGGTGAATATGACATTCATCAAAGTGTTAACAAAAATTAATTGGATTAAACAACAAATTAATGGATAGTTTCAGAGAGAAAGAGAGAGATTTAATACATTATTAAAATACGGGGAAAATGTTAATTTAATTAATAATTTAATTTGTTTACTATTAGCAACAATATACTATAAAATACAGTTTAATTTACGTGTTAGTACTATTTATTATTATTATTATTTTAAATACTACTACTACCATCACTACCACCACTACCACCACCACTACCACCACTACCACCACTACCACCACTACCACCACTACCACCACTACCATCACTACCATCACTACCATCACTACCATCACTACCACCACTACCATCACTACTACCACGTTTCGATCTTAAAGGGGGTTATTTAGTCTTATCACTACCCCACCCCTTGCTTAACCCCATATTACTATTATTGTCAATATAGTTACTACTAAATATACTAATATACTTTTTTTTATTTAATATAATAAACAATTATTGTACTTTTAGACTAATAAATTTATATTAAGCTATTTTATTTGATATTATTTTTTTTTAAATATTATTATAAAAATTAATATATATAAATACACTTAAAAATAATATTGTTTATACAATAATATTATATTATTAAAATTTTACATAATATAATTATCATAATGTAAATATTTTTATTAAACTAATTTTTCAGTCAATATAATATAAAATTATTACAATTTAAAATTAATAAAATAATAAAACATCACGTAAACATATCTAATAACAATATACAAATGTATTATTTTGTTAATTTATATTATATCTAATTTATAATATTAACATTTAAATAACAATATATGATATAATTATAATTAAAAAAATCACTGATAATAAATTTTTATTTTAATACTATTTGAGTAAGAGTTAAGGTAAAAATAAACTTAAAATACAGTTTTTTTAATTGTGATTTTTAAAGTTATGAATAATGATTAAATTATTAATAATTCATCTAATAATTATTTCGATTAACCAGGACAGTTTATTATGCAAGGTATTTATTTATTATTAAATTACATTATTAATTTTATAAAATTTATAGTAAATTTTTTTATTTCCCAAAAAAATGTTTTTAAAACTAGTATTTATAACTAAAACTAGAATATATTATATTTTAATTTTTGAATTAAAAATTAGACTAATTGTATATAACTAATGTAATATATTATAATATTATCCTTAAGTATAATATATAAAATTTAACTGGCATAATATTGATAAAATCTATTATAAAATAATAATATATATACTAAAATTATAATTAGCTTAATAATATTTTTCTATTAGATTTAATTAATAGAAAATTGCCTTATTTTTATTGCTATTAGGCAATACCATTGTCACCTAATCCTACAAAACTGCCGGCACTAGGAGTAGTGGCCCAATTGGGCGAGTTTTATGATGCCCGTACCGATAGATTTTATCCATTGACAATGTTTAGTACAACCAAACTGCCCGATACATTGATTAATATACATAGCAATGCTAAAACTGAAACCGATTTTGTTTTATCAAATACAATGGAAGAAAAGCTAATGAAAATGCATGTAAAAGCAGAGTTTAAGCTTAACGTACTGTGCGGACTACCCATTGAAATCGGGGGAACAGCAGGTTTTTTATATGACAAAAAAACAAGTTATAAAAGTGCCAAAGTATCGCTTATACATACAATTAGTACAATACACGAATCGATTACACTATCCGATGAAAATCTGAAACGATTAGTGAATATGGAGATCATCGATAAAATCGATGCCACTCATGTAGTAACAACTCGACAATGGGGCGGACACTTTATGCTGACTGCCCAAGATACTAACTGTTCCTATGATAATGTGATTGACATCAGCGGTAAAATGGGAGCTAAACTATCGCTTGGTTTTGCTGAAATAGGTGGTAGTGTGGACGGGGGGATTAAATCCAATGTTACCGAACAGTATAGACATTATTCATTTAAAATCAGTGGTGATGTCGTTCCTGATATAATGCCAACATCTATAAAGGATGCCTTTATATACGCTAGTACTGTAAGTAAAGACATGGTCAAAAACAACAATGGTTACGGTAAGATCATCGAGTACACTTTACTACCGATCAATTTTATCAGGCAACTATGGGAACGTGAAATTAAGCATGATGCATTTATTGAAAAAATTAATGATGAAATTATCAATAATTGTATTAAAATGTTTGACGGTATCGACACTATAAAACTACAGTTTCACGATATTAGTGCCGATTTAAACCAAATGGATTCATTTATTAGTAGTATAGTGTTGGACGAGTTCAATATATTGGTGGAAAGTTTTACAACATATAGTACAATACAGACACAGGAGCTACAGGAGCTGCTTATCCGTATTCGGTCAGGGAATGAAACGGTTAACCGATTGAATGATTATCTGAAAAACCCGTCACACGAAACATATTCAACGTATGCGATGACCAAAAAAATTGATTACTACTTGGATTTGCTTAAGAAATTAGATTCAGTTGTCATTACCGATGCCATCAATATTAATAAGGACTGTGTGTTTAACAAAAAAAATCGCTTACAATATAAACTATATGATTACGATAACGTTAATCTCTATATATTATTTTATAGCTGGCAATACAATATCAAAGATAATAAACAAGCCATCAATCAATTTAGACGTCTTATTGATAATAATAATAATAATAATAATAAAAATAATGCAGTTTACTGTACATACAATTATGAATCGATGGATACAGAGGACATGAGTTTGGCTAATGTTAGCCATAATGAAACCAAACCGCAGATAACCTATTATCTAAAAAGTGATATTCATGTGAAAAATTTAATGCCAATTGAAAAACGTTATGATTTTCTATTGGTGTGCGGTATCTATAATAGCAGAGTAAGTTATAAAATTGATTGCAGTAAATACAATGTCTATAGAAATGTTTGGCAAACAATTGGCGATTCAATGATTGATATACAACAAGATATATTCAAATTAATTGCATTTAAAAATAACATTTATGCTATCGGTGGCAACAAACAAGTATGTATTTAATTAATTATATATTATACATATAGACATATATATATTTTAATTTTTTTTAAAAATAATAACTTATTATTTAGTCCCATTGTACAAATTTGTTGCAAAAATATGATCCATATCTTGGTAGTCCATGGAGGGCAATGTCGTATTTAATAATACCTAGATGGTTAGTATATTAATTTTTTATCATAAAATTTATGTATAAATTTTTTTTAAATAATTTTTTTATGATAAATTCATGATTTAGTGATTTCGATGCAACTGTTTTCAACAATAATCTATATGTTTGCGGCGGTTATGATCCGATATTATCAGAAACTATAAATTCCTGTGAAGTCTACGATTATGATCGTAACAAATGGACAGTCATTGAAAAAACAATGACTAATTTACCCTTTAAGATGCATTTGCTTATACACATGGGCTATATGTATGCAATAGGTCAGCAAGTAATGGACGAAAATATTAATATTATTGAAAAATACAATCACATTACTAATGAATGGATTATTATAGGAAATACAACAACATATCTTAGGTTTTTTTTAATAAATTTTATTATTAAAATTTTGTTTTATAAAAATCATAATTAATTTATTGTTTTTTTTTGTTATTTAGCAATTGTGTCGTTTCATTTAAAAATTATATATATAGTTGTTTTTTAAATGGTAACGGGTTATTGAATTGCTGGAAATTTGATCCATTAAAAAATGAATATACACTAATTGGTAATTATTTCTATATTATTTAATTAAATATTTTTTTTTAAATTAATTAAATGAATAGTATTTAATGATACTAATAAAAATATTTAACATTAATATTTATATATATATATATATATAATACTAATAGAATTACTATAGAATTTATTTATTTATTTTTTAAATAAAACAATACTATTAATACTGTTACTATTTATATTAATTTTTTTATAAAAGCATCGACGACCATTCACAAATCATGTAATTTAGTATCTTATCATGATACTTTATATGTTTTCAGCGGTTCAATTTATCAAAGTAATATAAATTATTTTTTAAGAAATCAAATTTTATCAATTGGTTATACTGTATATATATATATATATATATATATATATATATACAGTATAATAGTTTAATTTAATTATTATTTTTTTAAAAATAATTATTAAACTTAATTTTAACAATAAATATATATATACAAATAACTTTAAATTAACATAGATTTAAATAATATTATTATTATTAATAATTTTTGTTTACAGATAGATCATATTATGAAATATATGATAATAAAAACGACAAATGGGTTAACGCAACTGATATACCATTTGAAACTATTTACGGGGTATTTGTTTAAATATTTTTTTAAATTTTTTTTTGCAAAAATAATAAATATTTGTTTTAATTAATTTAAGTATTTTTTTTATTTATATATTAATAAATTACAGGTTACTGGCTTTATATCGTCATAAATACATAATAAATGTTTGACAATTTATTTAATGCTTTAATTTACTTGATTAACTATTATACTATTTTTTATAACTAACATGATTTTTTAACTAGCTTATTTACTAATACACTTATATTCAAAAAATTTATAATACATACAATTATATAATAATATGTATTACAAGTTCACTAATTTATAACATTTACTAATCCTTATATATATAATTACTAAAAATTAATTACTAATAAATAATTGATTGATATTAATCTATACATTTACACAAAATATTTTAAATAAACTAAATTTTAGTTATTTTAAATTAGTTTTTTTTAAATATTTTAATATTTGATTGACTATTGTTAATGTTATCAATTATCAATTTATTTGTATTGTTGAAAAGTTTTGTGTTAACTGTGATTTTTTTTGTTTAATTTTCAATAAAAATTAATAATTAAATATCAATATGTAATCAAAATATGTAATCAAAATATATAATCAAAATATGTAATCAAAATATACAATAAATTATTATACTATAAAATAAAAGTTGTTTTTTTTGTTTAAATTATTTTTATATAATTAGTTGTCTAAAAAAAATATATTAACTTATTATATTACAATTAATATAAAAAAATATAATATAATTAAAATATAATTTAATTATATATATATATATATAAACTTTTAAACTCTTTATCAGTGTTTGCAATGTTGTTGATGTTATGGTTGGCCTACAAATCGAGTGATTATCCGGACATTACTGATACTACTGATTGTTATTAAATATAAAACTGTTTTATAAAAATTACATATTTATTCAATTTTACATAATATTTAAATTTCTAATTAAAACTTTTGAAATAATTGTTAAAAAAAAGTTTTTGTTTGATAGCGTTGTTTAAGTAAACTTTATTATTGCAATTAATATACAATTAAAAACAAATTACAATAAAGCAAATAATTATAAAAACTTTTTAAACTCTTGATCGGTGTTTACAATGTTGCTGTGGTTGGCCTACAAATCGGGTGATTATCCGGACATTACTATAGACTACTGACTGTAGTATCGGTCGTGAGTCGCAACTGATGACCGACCGGTGCTTTGAATGGCACAGTAGTCGTGATTTGAATGAACACTTCCTCCTCCTCCTTGTCCTCAATAGTCAACGGAAGGGATACTTAATTTAATTTAATTAAATTTTGTAATTTATTGACCAAAAAAAACCAATAAACTAAATTAAATAAAATTAATATAAAACTTTTAGTTTAAAAAAGTTTTTATTAAAAATATAAAAATATTTATTGTCGTAATTCATGTTCATTATTATTATTATTATGTAATATAATATTTATTTATTTTTTTATATATACAGTAATATATATTAATAAATTGCATCAATTTTTTCATAATAATAATAATAATAATAATAAATATCAAATACATTGTCTGTATTATTGAATATACAGTAGATATAAATCATATGATATTATTATTTAATTATTTTTTGTTAATTTAATCAATCAATCAATAAGTACTGTAAATATGATGTTATAATTAGTTAAAAAAATATATAATAACTTGTATTTTAATATAAATTAATTAAATAATTAAATTAATTTTTAGATTAATAATAATAATAATAATAATTGTATTGTTATTATTGTGTGATTATTATTATTATTATTATTATTACATAATTAAACAAAACGTTAAGTCAATGACAATAACAATGTATTGATTGAACTGTTTGTTTGTTTTTACTGTATTTTGTTGTGTTGTTTACCGCCGCAGCCGCTGACCGGCCACTATCGGTTGGTGGCCACAGTACCGCAGAGAGAGAGAGAGAGAGAGAGAGAGAGAGAGAGAGAGAGTGATCACCAATTCATCTCAACACACCAATGGGCAACGCACTGGTCGGTACCGTATCGCAGGCCATACACCCGATCGATCACTATCTGGCCGATGTACCCGAATTTCAATACCAATCGTCGCTCGGGTCGACCCGATTTCTGAAAGTGGCCAAATGTGGCCACTACGAAGGCGATTGTGTAGTCAAAGTATTGGCCGTCGACGATCCGTCGCTCCCGTTGGCCGCTCACAAGCAGCGCATCGAACACTTGTCGACGTTGACCGCCCGTAACGTATCGGTGGCCGCCTTTCATCGGGCCGTTATTTGTCCGTCGTTTGCCTACATTGCCCGCCAGTATGTACGCTATTCGCTATACGATCGCCTATCGACTCGACCGTTTCTGACCGCCGGCGAAAAGTCATGGCTAGCCTATCAGTTGGTCAAATGTTTGGATTGGCTTCACGGACACGGCATCAGACACGGCGATATTAAACTCGAGAACATACTTATTACGTCCAGTCTGTGGCTAGTGATTACCGATTTGGCCACTTATAAACCCGTACTGTTGCCCGACGTAAGTTTTTTTTTTGTTGTCTAAATCTAATGGCCACTTACTTACGGTAATTTATTATACCATTGATAGGACAATCCGTCGGACTTTTCCTATTTTTTCGACACATCGCGTCGCCGCTGCTGTAATATAGCTCCCGAACGGTTTGTCAGCGACAGTTCGGGTCTACAATCGGCGACTGCGGTTGACTATACGATGACTGGACCCATTGGATCGGCTGCTTCTGCTGCCGCCACCACCGCCGCCGGTGGCGCCAATAGTCAGCTGCTGTTGACACCGTCGTCACCGCAACCACCGAAAGAACCACAATTGACGCCCGAAATGGATATGTTCAGTATCGGCTGTGTACTGGCCGAACTGTTTTCCGATGACGCACCCAACGGTAATCTATTTGATTTGGCCGAACTGTTAGCCTTTCGTGTCGATCAATACTATCCGACGAAAGCATTGGACAGTATATCCAACGAAACCATACGGGAATTGGTAAAAAATTTGATCAGTCTTAAGCCAACCGAACGTAAACTTAGTGGCCAAATATTGGCCGAACTTAGCGGATCATTGTTTCCCGGCTATATGAGCACACTGTACGACTATTTGCAACAATTGGTCAGATTGCCGCCCGATGCCAAAGTAATACGATTGTCCCGCGATTTGGATCAACTATTGTCGCTAATACTGTCACAAGAACCGCACGGTCTGCTACTGGTTCTGGTAGTGATTACGTCGACAATGCGGGCACTCAAACACATACATTGCAAACTATTAGCCCAACGATTGGCCTGCAAGATAGCAGCGGCATCGCCGATAATGTCGGCCTATATTACCGACCGATTGTTACCCTATTTGTTGCATTCGCTGACGGATAGCGATCCGCGAGTCCGGGCCGAAGCCGTCTACTCGATAACCATTAGCTTAGAACAGGTGGACGATTTGCCGGCCAGCGATAACAACGTATTTACCGATTATATTCTTCCAGTTTTGGTTAGTAGTAATATAACAACAATAGATTTATTATTAATTTTTTTTTACCGATTATTGATTTTTTTACCGATTATTGATTTTTTTTTTACACTTCAAGTGTCAAGTAGTGTCCGATCAGTCGGCATTCGTTAGGCTAACACTGGCCGCCAATATTAGTCGGCTATCGAAAGTATCGCTAAATTTTTTATCCCAATCGTGCGACCAAAACTACGACGAAGAGCTAACCTTATTGCACAATTCGTTTCAATTGATTGTCACCCAATTGCTTACCGACGGTAACAATTGTGTCCGTCGGACACTATTGCTAACGCCGTACAGTTGTGCCAATTTGTGTGTCTTTTTCGGACGACAAAAGACCAACGATCTGATCCTAAGTCATATCATAACCTTTCTGAACGACAAAGTATTTGATTGATTTGATATGTTTTAGCATTTTTCGGTTGTTGTTGTTGTTGTGATAATAGCCTCTAATTTATTGTTTTGTTTTTTTACAGAACGACTTTCAACTTCGGGCCTCATTTTTCGACAACATAATAGTCATAGCATCCTATCTCGGCTCAGATCAGTGCTCAAAGATATTGCAGCCACTACTCCAACAGGGACTGAGCGATGCCGAAGAGATTATCATCTATAAGACAATAACATCGATGACATCGCTCATTGAACAAGGATTGCTGAAAAAGTCCATAATCTATGAATTGCTTCGCGAAGCCGTACCGCTATTGTCTCATCCAAACCTATGGATCAATCAATCGATGATTTCATTGATTTTGACTCTGTGTTCTCGGCTATCGTTAGCCGATATTAGCTGCAAAATCAAGCCGTTAGTCGATCCCAATCTTCAACGACAGATACATTCGCTGAAAAATGGTCGCCTACTGAAGGACTCGCTCTATCCGTTACTGCCGCGCAGTGTCTACGATCTGATTGTTGGCCAATCAAAGCTCAATATTGACCGATTTTTCGAGTGTCTAATTCAAAGGAAATACTTGCGTCAAGTGGTCAGACATCATCAGCAGTCGGTAATTGTTTTGGAGGATGCACTGTACACCCGACTCACTCACGAAGGTATTAACGAACAAATTGAAGACCAATTGGTATCGCTGGCCGATCTGATCAAAAAGATTTACCGAAACAAAAAAAATTTATCGACGAAAAAGGTGTCGGGAATGATAGCCATTACTACTACTAATACTACTGGCGATCGTCAGAAAAATCGCAAATATTTTAGTGTAGTAATTGGCGACAGAAATCGCAACAACAATACCAATAACAACAACAACAATAATGGCAGACAACAGCAGCCGTCGTCGTCGTCGTCATCGCATAGAAGACAGGCGTCGGCGATGAACGAAGAATGGTTGCATATGTTTGGCTCGAAAGTCCAATTGGTTTCGTCTAACGGCGACAATACTATTAGCGGCGTCGACGATGATATCGATGGCAGTATTCCAGTGGCACAGGAGGCCAGAGAAAGTGGCGGCGGTGTCGGCGTCGGTGTTGGTGGTGGTAGTGAACAACAGCACGTCCAGTGTCCGCCGTGTCAGCTAGAAATCAAACGATTGATTCAGTACAAGAAGTCTAACTTTAATCCGTTGACAACAACAACAACATCAGCGACAACTGTTCGCTGGACAGACGGCCAACCATTTAAGCCGAAAGGAGTACTAGTAGCTCATCTGCACGAACACGAAAAAGCGGTCAAACGGGTATTGCGTGTCGGCAACAATTCATCGCTGTTTGCCACCTGTTCCGCTGACGGTACTGTCCGAGTATGGGATGCATCGAAAATGGAGGGCAAAAGTGTTATCAATCGTTCGCGACTGAACTTTGTCGCCCAATCGAAACTGAATCCCCAGTCGATGGGCGGTATGACCTACTGTGGCGACTGTCTTATTGTCTACACTAATACCAATCACGTACACATATTGGAGATCAATCAATCGCCGACGGCCCGCATGAAACTGTTGAACAGTTTTCAAGTCATACCCGATATCGACGGTTCGGTTATTACCGATATTACGACACTCGGTGCCAATACGTTTGCCATGTCGTTGTCCGATTCGTCGATACTTATCTACGATCTGAGAACATTGGTTACGTCAACGGCTACGACGGCTGCGGCTACCGAAATAAAACCCGTTCACAAGCTTAACATTGCGGCCCACGAACGAGTTATTACGGCCATCGACGGTAACGATTGTGTGATGTTTTGCGGTACCTATAGTGGCCTATTGATTACATTTGATCTGCGATTTCTATTGCGCTCCAATACGTCAGCCTATATGACACAGAATCGGGTCCGACGTATCAAATATACCGACGATGGTCTCTATTCGTCGGGTAAAACAAAACAAAAGACTTTTATATACTTTTTTTTAAAAAAGAGATTTCAATTTAATTCAATTCATTTTTTTTTTGTTTTTTTACAGCTCAGGGCAATTGTGAGGTCACACTGTGGGACTGCGAAACCGGTTCCCGATTGAAGACACTGTGGGCCAGTACGGCACCGGCACTATCAGTCACACAGGTATTATAATTATAATTATTACTATTTAGTAGATTTAATGTATCGGTAATTGTTATATTTTTTTTGTAGGCGTCACCGCATTCAGTGCTCGGTATGATTGTATCGAAAGTGGGCAACGATTCGTCTATAATTACATCGGGAACCGATATGCGTATCCGCTACTGGGATCTGCAGCAACCGGAGCGCAGTTACATTATCAGCGACAATGCCAAAAGCCAGAACAATGGTGTCACCTATACCTCAAAGTTTATCGAAGGCATACAAGTGATACAGGAATGTCAAGATGACAACAACGGTGGTGTTGGTGGTRGGTGGTGGCCTTCATCAGCCGCCAGTGTCGTCACCGTCAACTTCATCATCGTCAGCATCATCGGTGGTGGCCACTACTACTGGCGGCGCTGGTGTCGGCGGTACTCATTATTATCAGCAGCAGCAGCACCACCACCACCACCATTCGACATGGGATCACCAGGCAGTTAGTCCATCGCACCGGGACTGTATTACTGATATTGCCCGAGTCAACCATCTATTGGTGTCGGCCAGCAGTGACGGTGTTGTTAAAGTGTGGAAATAATTGTTTGTTTGTTTTTTTTGTTTGTAGTTGTTGTTGTTGATGTGATAATTACGGGACAATAACATTATCGACATATATATGATTTTTTTTTATATATATACAGTAAATTATATATCAATATATTATTATTATTATTATTAATGACTATTAGTTTTTTTTAATATACATTATTCGTAACTCTCCCTCTCTCTCTCCCCCCTTCCCCTCTCACTCAATGTACGGCCAGTACTACTACTACTACTACTGACTCAAAGGCCGCCCCAACACATATACTTGACATCGAGAAATTCGTCGCAACCGAAATGCGAACCTTCGCGGCCAATACCCGACTGTTTGACCCCACCGAACGGTACTTCGCAACTGGATATTAGTCCCTCATTGATGCCAATCATACCGACTTTTAGCGAACGACTTACCCGCCATATCTGTGCACTGTCTTGCGAATAGAAATAGCCGGCCAGTCCTCCCTGGCTATCGTTGGCCAATGAGATCACTTCCTCCTCGGTTGAGAATCTTGTGTGTCCCGAGTGAGAGAGAGAGAGAGATAATTAAAATTTTTATATAATTTAACAGTAAATTATGATAAAAAATATATCGACTATTTTTTTGTAATGTCTATCTATTCATCAATTGCTCTCTCAATCTCTATTGTGTGTGTGTGTGTGGATCAATCATTGGTGATATTAATAATAATTGCATAATTTTTTTTCATCAGTATATATATATACAGTATATTTTTGTTATTAATTTAAATTTTAATATCACATCATATGATTGATAACAACACATATTGTTAGAGCAATTGTTATTTAATAGTAATTAAATGATAATTATATATAATATAAATGTATATCTAATATGAATTGTTAATAATTAAATTATTATTATTATTAAAAAAAACAAATTACCGATATATTGGTGCCAACGGACCAAATGTTTCCTCATTAGTAAATAGCATATCACGGGTAACATTGGTAACGATTGTTGGCTCGAAAAAATTGCCGCCAATATGTTTGCCGCCGCAATAAATGTTGGCCCCTTTGCCGACAGCATCGGACAAATGGTGTCTAACTTTATCGACTCCACGTTCGTTAATCAGCGGTCCTAAAGTGGTACGATTGTCTCGGCCGTCGCCCACAATCAACTCTTTGGCCATTTTTTCGGCCAATCGCTGGACAAACTTGTCGTGAATACCTTTCTGAACGAATATACGGTTCGCGCAAACGCATGTCTGTTGCCAACCGAAAAAAATCAAACAATTATCGGCTAATTATCGKTTTTTTCCGGGGRTGTAATAAATAATAATAATAATAATATATTACTTGTCCGGCATTGCGAAACTTCGAGATCATACAGCCGTCGACAGCTTTGTCCACATCGGCCGAATCAAATACAATGAACGGTGCATTGCCGCCCAATTCCAGACATACCCGTTTGACTGTCGAGGCCGACATTGCCAACAGTTGTTTGCCGACAGCTGTCGATCCGGTAAACGATACGACACTAACTTCGGGCGATTCGCATAACAGTTTGCCAATCGGTCCAGCATTTGTCCGATCCGACGGTATAACATTGACCACACCGGCCGGTACGCCAGCTTCTTCGGCTAGTTTGGCAATAGCCAGACCAGAAAACGGTGTATCCTCGGCCGGCCTGATAACGGCAGTACAGCCGGCAGCCAATACGGCGCCCAACTTTCGGGTAATCATAGCGTTCGGAAAGTTCCACTGGTAAGCGGGAAACAAAAAATATCGGGAATATCACTGATTATAAAAAATGGTTACTAAAAAATTAAAAACACAATACTAACTGGCGTTATGATGGCCACTACACCGGCCGGTTCTTTCGTATACATAACACGTTTGTCGGGCCACGGACTCTGCATCAGACAGCCGTCTAGACGTTTGGCTTCTTCGGCAAACCATTCAAAGAAGGAGCCGCCGTAACCTATTTCGCCAATGGATTCGCGTAACGGCTTTCCGCACTCGAGTGTCAATAGACTGGCCAATTCGTCCTGACGTTTCATCTGCAGGTCAAACAATCGTCTGAGTATTGATGACCGATATTTGGCAGTTGTCCGACTCCACGAGCCGAATGCTCGGCCGGCGGCAGCAATAGCGTCGCCAGTGTCCAGCAAGTCCGAGTTGTACGCCTGGCCAATCGACTGGCCACCGTCGATAACGGCCGGGTTGTAGACGGGAAACGTTTTTCCGCCGCCGCCGCTATCAGTGGTGGCCCGACGCCACTGGCCATCGATATAGGCAACCGATTGTAATTCATTTAGTAGCCGACTGGCCGACGTTGTCGTCGCCGCTGATGATGATGAGGAAGACATATGTTTTGGGCAAACAATGATTTGTCGGCCGCCGCGTCCGCCGCCGATGATTGGCCTCAAAGTTTGACGTATAGACGACACCAACAATCGTGACATTACTTCAATCAATGGATCAATTGATTTGTTTTTGAATACTTAAAGTTTGAATACTAATAATAATTATTAATTAATTAATTAATTTAATAATTAAATAATTAAGTCATTTATTTAAGCTATAAATGTAATCAAAAAAAAAATCAAATAATTTTTTTTGTGATAACAGTAATCATATCATTAAAATTAAAACTAAAACTAAAATATGATATATTTTTTTAAAAACAAAATAACATTTATTATCACTTTTTTTAGTAGTTTTTTTAAAAAAAAAATTATTAAATTATTTTATCATTTAATTTAATACATAAAAATTTAATCATTTTTTTGTTGTTATATTTATTTACTATAGCAGTATTTATTTGCTTGTATTTATTTGCCTACAAATGCATTATTTATTATACAGTGCAGTGTACAGTGACTTAATCTAAATAGCATTGCCATAATAAACTTTAAATTGTATGGTATTATAGACAATAAATAGTATACAAATAATATAGTAATAATAATAATAATAATAATAATAAAACAATATAATAATAATAATCTTTATTTAGCATCAAATTGCAATGAAATATAAAACGTAATAATGAAATTATTTTTTACAAAAATATTAAAATCATTTGTATTACGTATAAAAAGAGGTAAATCAGAGAATGTATTTATACAATAGTTAAAATAAAATTTATCTAATAACTAAATAAATTTATAAATTTTTTAAAGTACAACAGTTTTAAGACATTTTTGACTAAAAAATGCACTTAATAATTATTACAAAACAAAATATTAGATATAGTTCAAATAAACTGTTACTAATTAAAACTATTAGTACTATATATTGCAATAAACTGTACTTTGTTACAATAAATGTATTATTAAAATTTAAGTTTTTAAATTCAATCATAAACGATTTTATAGTTAAAAATTGTATAATCATTTATTAACTACTTAAGGCTATTAAAGCAATGCAATCTAAATATATAATTTAATAATTAAAAAATATATAAAATATCACGTATATTACATATAATAAATTAAAAACAAAATAGACATTTAAGACAAACTTATGATTTATTAATATTCATAAAATATATTTAGAAAAAGATTTAATAAATTAAATATTTAAAAAATAGGCTAAAGTGTAGTTTACTACCGATTAATGAAATTTAGTTTTTTACAAATAAATCATATTTATTGTCAAAAGTATACGATTTAATCAAAATTTAGCCGCAGAAGCTAATTATTGATAACCAAATTTAGTGTATAATAATCTGTATTCCCTTATAATTGGGTTAGTTAGTTAGGGATAGATTAAATAATGGCGGCCTGTAGGCCGCTAGGTCTAATAGATTAGGTTTGGTAATAATGTTGGGTTAGGTTAGGTCAGGTTAGGCTTACCTGAATGCCAGAATAATGTTTAAATTTTCTTTTCAATAATTAGCTTCTGCGGCTAAATTTTGATTAAATCGTATACTTTTGACAAATATATGATTTATTTGTAAAAAACTAAGTTTCATTAATCGGTAGTAGACTACTTTTTTGCCAAAAAATAATTTCTAAATATAAATATTTAATGTTAATAATACTATTTTATGAATTAAATTTATATAAACTAGAATTAAACTATTTTATTTTTTTAATATATGAATTCAAGTGATAAAAATAAAAAAAATCAGTTTTAAGTTTTATATAATAGGGTTTAATGGAGTGTTAATATAAGTTATATTTCTTTTAAATATGTTTTATGTATATTAATAAATTAGTTTGTTTTTAATGTATATGTTCACGAACTCCTGAAAGGAGTACGTATTTGCATTTTATAAGTCTGTCTGTCCGGTGCCCCACGAGGCCATAGAATCGAATTCACGCTCTGTTACACATATATTTATTTATTTTTTCAATTAAAGAGATCGTGTGGAAATGCTTTTATAGCATTCTTAATTGGTTTTTTAATATATTGTTATATTTTTTATTTAACTATTGTATAAATACATTAAATGGTTTACCTCTTTTTATACGTAATACAAATGATTTTAATATTTTTGTAAATAAATAAATTTTATTATTTCATGTTTTGTATTTCATTGCAATTTAATGCTAAATAAAAATTATTATTATATTATTATCTATTATTTAGTGTCTATTATACCATACAATTTAAAGTTCATTATGGAAATGCTATTTTGTAGGCAAATAAATACAGGCAAATAAATACTGCTATAGTTAATAAAATTTTTAAAAAAAATTTAAACGAAAATATCATATGATATTAATACTATAGCAAAAAAAAATAAAATAAAAACTATTTATTATTATTAGTTTTAACAAAAAAAAAATTATTATTATTTCAATTAATATTAAATTGAATTCAATTGAATTAAATTTAATAAAACATTTATTACTTAATAAATATTAAATACAATAATAAGTACTGTATAATAGAAATATGAATCTAGCCATCAATAACGTCCATAAATTTATAATGCATAACACTCCCCCCTCCCCTCACGTGCCATAATATATACAAACAATATAATACAAACATTACACACACACACACACACACAAACATTATTGGAGACGTTATTGATGTAAACAACAACAACAACGAAATATTATGTTTGTGTTGTTGTTGTTATTATTGTTATGAAAATACAATAATAATAACAATAATAACAATGCATTCAAACTGATTGATTGGCCGCCAAAACGTCAACACAAACAACAACAACAACAAACAGGAGCTTAAAAACGTGTTTTCAGTCGCACGTAACACGTGTTTTGCTATTATATAATACTAATAATAATAATAATAATGTCGCCAAAGAAGTTGTCAAACAAATCGTTGTCGTCGTCGTCGGCGGCGATGAATACAAAGACAACAGACTCGACATCGTTGTCGTCGCCGTCGCCGACAAAAAGGGTCCGATCGGCTCTTGTGGACAATGAGGACACTGACGTAACAATCATTGTGGACAAGAGTCACCTGAAGATGACCGCCGCCGCCGACAACGATTTAGTCGGCGATGGATTGAATAACCGCCACAACACTCGCGACGGCTGTGGTGGTGGTAATGACGGCGGCGGTGGCGGTACGTCCAGCGATGATGATGATGACGATGTGAACAAAATGTTGGCGTCGACTACAACGAGTACGTCCGCCACCGCTGCCGCCATCATTGCCGACAACTATTTTATGGCTCAACGCCGTCATCAACAGCGAACAAAACGGTCGACTACCGGTGCCGATAGCGACCAAATGAAAAATAAAAGCACTTCGGAAACTATGGCCAAAGTTATGAAAGACTTTGATCTGACCGAAGACCAGATTAAAGTGATTGTCGATCGACAGTCTGTAGCGGAACGGAAGCATCTGATGGATACTTATGTCAATAATAACTGTTTTGACGATTGGATGAGTCAGTTGTGGTAAATATTTATTTATTTAATTTTTTTATAAATTATCAATTTTTTGAAATTAATTAATTATTATTATTATTAGTTGCGGTTTCAATGTCCTGCTCTACGGTTTGGGTTCAAAGCGAAAGCTGATGGAAACGTTTGCCGAAAAACATCTATCAGATGAACACCACATAGTCATCAATGGCTACAACAATGAGGCGTCGCTCAGACACGTAATGATATTTTATTTTATTTTTTTAAAAACTAAATTATATTTTAAATGATTTATTTATAATCAACAGATTATACTGGTTTTGAGCGAAGTATTAGACGAATCAATAGTCGACAACAACATGAAGATTATCGACAAATTAAATTCAATTGAATTTGATCTCTATTTGGTTATACATTCCATTGATTTTTTGTTTGCCACAAATCCGAAAATCAAATCATTTATTGGCCAACTAGTTGTTCCGCACCGATGTTCGCGCATCAGAATTATAGCCAGCGTTGACCACATCAACAGTGGACTGATTTGGTCGACCACTGAGGCCAACGCTTACCGATGGTTGTGGTTCAATGTACCGACACTCGAGTCCTATTCAGTGGAAAAAGCGTTCAGCACTGGCCTATCGATGCTAACCGGTTCGGCAAAAAGTTGGTCACAATCGCTAACCTATTCATCTGTTAAACATGTATTTGATTCGTTGACAACAAACGCACAAAAGATATTTCTACTAATTTTACAGCATTTTGTCGATAAGGATGTGTCGAACACTAATAATAATAATAATAATAACGGCTTTCCGTTTGCCGATTGTTATGATTTGTGTCGGGAAGAGATGTTAGTCATATCGGAGACAACACTCAGAGCACAGATCAGTGAATTCAAAGATCATAGACTATTGAAGTCGAAGAAGGGCTGCGACGGCGGAGAAGTGATTGTCGTTTGTTTAGATAAAACTGTTGTCCAAAGCTTTTTAGATAGTCATCCAAATAATGATTATTGAAAATTACTATACAATTAATAATTAGTGATATATATATATATATGTAATAAATAAATAAATAAATTTACATTTATATTATATTTTTAGTTTATTTTTTTCTATGAATTTACAAATAAAATAATTTCAATTCAAAAATAAGATAAATATTTTTTTCACTTATAGACTATAACTTATTGTATTATACAATACTTAATAATAATAATAACTATTTTTTTTAAATGTATTGCTATTTATGTAAATAGTATACTATTAGGTAATTTTTAGTAATTATATATTTGTTCGTTAATACCTTCGTGAGTGAGCCGGGTGTACAGTGCATCCTCCAAAACAATTACCGACTGCTGATGATGTCTGACCACTTGACGCAAGTATTTCCTTTGAATTAGACACTCGAAAAATCGGTCAATATTGAGCTTTGATTGGCCAACAATCAGATCGTAGACACTGCGCGGCAGTAACGGATAGAGTGAGTCTTTAAGGAGGCGACCATTTTTCAGCGAATGTATCTGTCGTTGAAGATTGGGATCGACTAACGGCTTGATTTTGCAGCTAATATCGGCTAACGATAGCCGAGAACACAGAGTCAAAATCAATGATATCATCGATTGATTGATCCATAGGTTTGGATGAGACAATAGCGGTACGGCTTCGCGAAGCAATTCATAGATTATGGACTTTTTAAGCAATCCTTGTTCAATGAGCGATGTCATCGATGTTATTATCTTATAGATGATAATCTCTTCGGCATCGCTTAGTCCCTGTTGGAGTAGTGGCTGCAATATCTTTGAGCACTGATCTGAGCCGAGATAGGATGCTATGACTATTATGTTGTCGAAAAATGAGGCCCGAAGTTGGAAGTCGTTCTGTAAAAAAAAAACAAAACAATAAATTAGACGCCATTATCACAACAACAACCGAAAAATGCTAAAACATATCAAATCAATCAAATACTTTGTCGTTCAGAAAGGTTATGATATGACTTAGGATCAGATCGTTGGTCTTTTGTCGTCCGAAAAAGACACACAAATTGGCACAACTGTACGGCGTTAGCAATAGTGTCCGACGGACACAATTGTTACCGTCGGTAAGCAATTGGGTGACAATCAATTGAAACGAATTGTGCAATAAGGTTAGCTCTTCGTCGTAGTTTTGGTCGCACGATTGGGATAAAAAATTTAGCGATACTTTCGACAGTCGACTAATATTGGCGGCCAGTGTTAGCCTAACGAATGCCGACTGATCGGACACTACTTGACACTAGCGAAGTGTAAAAACAACAAAACAAACAAAACAAAAATCGGTAAAAAAATTAAATAAATCTATTGTTGTTATATTACTACTAACCAAAACTGGAAGAATATAATCGGTAAATACGTTGTTATCGCTGGCCGGCAAATCGTCCACCTGTTCTAAGGTAATGGTTATCGAGTAGACGGCTTCGGCCCGGACTCGCGGATCGCTATCCGTCAACGAATGCAACAAATAGGGTAACAATCGGTCGGTAATATAGGCCGACATTATCGGCGATGCCGCTGCTATCTTGCAGGCCAATCGTTGGGCTAGTAGTTTGCAATGTATATGTTTGAGTGCCCGCATTGTCGACGTAATCACTACCAGAACCAGTAGCAGACCGTGCGGTTCTTGTGACAGTATTAGCGACAATAGTTGATCCAAATCGCGCGACAATCGTATTACTTTGGCATCGGGCGGCAATCTGACCAATTGTTGCAAATAGTCGTACAGTGTGCTCATATAGCCGGGAAACAATGATCCGCTAAGTTCGGCCAATATTTGGCCACTAAGTTTACGTTCGGTTGGCTGAAGACTGATCAAATTTTTTACCAATTCACGTATGGTTTCGTTGGATATACTGTCCAATGCTTTCGTCGGATAGTATTGATCGACACGAAAGGCTAACAGTTCGGCCAAATCAAATAGATTACCGTTGGGTGCGTCATCGGAAAACAGTTCGGCCAGTACACAGCCGATACTGAACATATCCATTTCGGGCGTCAATTGGGGCTCTTTCGGTGGTTGCGGTGACGACGGTGTCAGCAGCAGCTGACTATTGGCGCCGGCGGCGGCGGCAGCAGCCGATCCAATGGGTCCAGTCATCGTATAGTCCGCTGTCGCCGATTGTAGACCCGAACTGTCGCTGACAAACCGTTCGGGCGCTATATTACAGCAGCGGCGACGCGATGTGTCGAAAAAATAGGAAAAGTCCGACGGATTGTCCTATCAATGGTATAATAAATTACCGTAAGTAAGTGGCCATTAGATTTAGACAACAAAAAAACTTACGTCGGGCAACAGTACGGGTTTATAAGTGGCCAAATCGGTAATCACTAGCCACAGACTGGACGTAATAAGTATGTTCTCGAGTTTGATATCGCCGTGTCTGATGCCGTGTCCGTGAAGCCAATCCAAACATTTGACCAACTGATAGGCTAGCCATGACTTTTCGCCGGCGGTCAGAAACGGTCGAGTCGATAGGCGATCGTATAGCGAATAGCGTACATACTGGCGGGCAATGTAGGCAAACGACGGACAAATAACGGCCCGATGAAAGGCGGCCACCGATACGTTACGGGCGGTCAACGTCGACAAGTGTTCGATGCGCTGCTTGTGAGCGGCCAACGGCAGCGACGGATCGTCGACGGCCAATACTTTTACTACACAATCGCCTTCGTAGTGGCCACATTTGGCCACTTTAAGAAATCGGGTCGACCCGAGCGACGATTGGTATTGAAATTCGGGTACATCGGCCAGATAGTGATCGATCGGGTGTATGGCCTGCGATACGGTACCGACCAGTGCGTTGCCCATTGTGTGTGTTGAGATGAATTGGTGGTCACTCTCTCTCTGTCTCTCTGCGGTACTGTGGCCACCAACCGATAGTGGCCGGTCAGCGGCTGCGGCGGTAAACAACACAATAAAACAAACAAACAGTTCAATCAATACATTGTTATTGTCATTGACTTAACGTTTTGTTTAATTATGTAATAATAATAATAATAATAATAATAATAATCACACAATAATAACAATACAATTATTATTATTATTAATCTAAAAATTAATTTAATTATTTAATTAATTTATATTAAAATACAACTAATTATAATCATAAATATATTTACAGTACTTATTGATTGATTGATTGATTAAATTAACAAAAAAATACAATAAATAATAATATCATATGATTTATATATATATACTGTATATTCAATAATACAGACAATGTATTTGTTATTTAATAATATTATTATTATTATTATGAAAAAATTGATGCAATTTATTAATATATATATTACTGTATATATAAAAAAATATATTATATTACATAATAATAATAATAATGAACATGAATTACGACAATAAATATTTTTATATTTTTAATAAAAACTTTTTTTAAACTAAAAATAAAGTTTTATATTAATTTTATTTAATTTAGTTTATTGTTTATTTTTTTTTTTTTTGGTCAATAAATTACAAAATTTAATTAAATTAAATTAAGTATCCCTTCCGTTGACTATTGAGGACAAGGAGGAGGAGGAGGAAGTGTTTTATTAAAATCACGACTACTGTGCCATTCAAAGCACCGGCCGGTCATCAGTCGGCGACTCACGACCGATACCATAGTCAGTAGTCTATAGTAATGTCCGGATAATCACCCGATTTGTAGGCCAAACACAACAACAACAACATCAACAACATTGCAAACACCGATTATAAGTTAAATTTTTAAAATTTTTATTTGTTTTTTGTGTTAATTTTATGATATATTGATATATTAATAAATATAACTAAATTTTAATAATAAAGTTAACAATACTTACACATCAATGCTATCAAACAACACATTTTAAACAATTATTTAATTAATAGTTTAATGAAAGTTAAATATTAAACTATAATTCAATCAATAGATAGTTTTTAAAACATTTATATTTTTAATAAAATTTTATAAATTTATATTTAATTAAAAACTTTGCATACATTTTTGTAATTGTAACATAATATAAACAATTGAGTTAAATAATAAATATTAAATATTAAAAATAAATTTATTTAGTTACTAAATTATTTTAATATATAAAATTATAATACATATTTCAATCAATAGCTAAATATTATTTTAATAAATTTATTTATTTAACAATTTTTAATTGATAATTATAAAAATAATTTTTACATCAAACATTTATTCATTTAAATTAACTATCTAAATTTTAATAATAAAAATTATATAAAAATAATAATTAATTTTGTTGTAATCATTCATTAATTTATAATTATTTAGTTAGAAATGTTGATAACATGTTAATTAAATACAACAACAAAAATAGTACATATATTTGATTCCTGAATAATTAATAATACATAATATGAAAAATTTTTAATAAGGCGTGGTTCACATATTACGTTCTCACTTTTTAAAAAATCTAGACCCCCTACCTCCTCTATGATCGCAATTGTTAGCATGTAACCATTTAAAATAATTACGTTTACATGTCGTTAACCGTTACCCCCCCCTACCACTACAAGAAATAAAATATTATCTAAATGCGAACGTTCCTAAAGTCTATACCCCTTCCCTCACCCTCGTTCGCAAAAATTTGCTTTGGCTAACCCCCCCTCCCTTCAAGTGCGAACGTAATATGTGAATCACGCCTAACTGAAAATATAATAATACATTAATTTTTAATTATTACAGATTAAATTATAATATAAAAAATATTTTAATTAAGTTAATAAATACTATTATAATTATTATTAATTCATTTTAATTATGCAGTCTTGATTATAATAATAACAATTATATATAAATTATTATTATTAACTTATTGTTGTAATTAGTTATTGGTTTATTAGTATTTAGTTTGAAAAGTTGATAACCTGTTAATTAAATATTTTTAAAAAAATTAGTTTTTATTCTGAATAAAATAATTGATAATTAAATTGATATTATTATTAATATTAGTTTTATCTATTAATAACAAATGTTTTGTTGATTTATAATTTCTTTTATTACTTTATCTATAATAATTTGTTATATATATATATATATATATATATATTAATTGTATTAAAATAAAAATTTATTTACCGAAAAAAATAAGCCTGTTGAATTAAATTTTTTAAAAATCCAAGAACCATTCTTGAATATTTTAATTGAAGTATCTGTTAAATAAAATTATATTGAAAAAAATTAAATTTGGTAATAAATTTGAGTATATTTTATTCAAATAATAATTTTTTTATTTTGTAATTAATATTTTTTAAATCAATTTATTTATAATTACCTAATTCGTTATATCTAAAGAAATAAATTAAAGTTTCTTTATAGACAATTATCTCACAGAAAGACCCAGTTTCTGTAGAAACTAAAATAATTAAATAATAATTATTAGTAAAAAAAATATTAGTTATATAAGAATTATAATTTGATTTGTTAGTTAAAATAAATATTTACATAATTGGACAGATTTATTATCTATTGGATTGTATTTAAATGAAAAACCTATATCTATTATATCAGTGTCATAGACTACACAATTATAAACATAATCCATATATGGAACAGTACGAACCAAAGTATAGTTTCTATTATAATTTATTTAAGAAAAAAAATAATATCAATTTATTTAAAAATATAATAAAATATATTTTTTATCAAAACAATTATGTACATTACCCAGAAAGCAATAATCTATGAATTATTAAAAAAGATAATTAAATAAGATTACTTTTTTTGTTCCTATTTAAACAATTAATACATATATTACCCCTGATCTAAAAAATTAGATACAGATGCCCATTCATGTGTACGATCATTATAACGTTCAATAATAGGACCACTGATTGCATATAAATAACCTAAATGTGAAATTAATGAAAAACTAGAGCGTCGGGTTGACATCGGTTTTATTTGATTCCATGTATTAGTTAATATATCATATATTTCGCACGATTCCAACGAGTTTTCATTGAAAGTGCCGCCACAAACATATAAAATATCATTATATACAGAAACACCCGGATAGCTAAATTATTTTATTTAAATAATAATAATTATAATATGAGTTATTTGATAATTAATATGTATTAATATATATTTAAAAAATAATACAAACCATCTAGGTGTTGTTAGTAATGATATTTGACTAATTGATCCATCCATTGGATTAAATGATTCAACCAAATCGCTGCAAGTATTATCCTTAAATATTATAAACAAGATTTAAAAAATATTAATAATAATTATCTTAATAATAAATAATTATTAAAAATTAAAATAAATTACTCACTCTATATAAACTTTGTCCACCAATAGCATAGATTTTGTTTTTATATCCAATTAACTTATAATCGAAACGTTTACTATAAAATGACTTAGTATCGTGTAATTGAACTAATGTATTATTATCATTATCAATTATTGATTCGTCTATATATTTACAATTTGAACCATTATCAAACTTTAAACAAATATAGATAAGATCAACTGCTTTATGATTGTTATCACTTTTATTGTTGACTACTTCAACTAATGGTAATATATTTTGTTTAAATAATTGGGATTTTTTATATAGACTTATCTGTGGATAACTAACACTTTCGGTAAGATTAGCAAATGCTAAATCATAATTATTCATAATATCATAATTATAGCTACAAAATAAAGCATTACTATTGTTTTTATTGTTATTAATAAATTGGGTAAAATTTTCATAAACAATATTGTTTTCAACTATAATATTCGGGTCACTAAATTGCCATCTATAGTAAAATACATAGACATCTTTTTCAAAAAATGTATTTATCTTACTTTTTAAACTACTTTTTTATGAAATATGCAATTATTATTAATACTTTTTGCTAAATTAACAAACCTTAATTGATCATATAATTCATTATAGTAAGAAATTTTGTTACGTATAGTTGGATAGAATATACATTGTTTTCTGGTTTAATACTATTTTTTAATACTTCATTAGCTGTATTATTACCTGATTTAATCGATACTAAAAGTTTTTGTAAAATTAGTTTTTGATTTTTATGATTTATAGAAAAATTTTGTTTAAAAGCATTCAATTCATTCAATAAACTATTATTAATAAATTGTTTCATTGTATTGAATTTGTCGACACAATCATTGATTAATAGCTGACTATCTGTTAGATCATCGAAATAGCGGATGCATTCATCCACCAGTTGTTCATTGATTTGCGTGACATCGGCGTCGGCTTTGATATCCTTTGACCAGAGTTGTCGTATAAAATTAATTGGCGTTAAAGTAATGGAAATTTGTTTTCCCGTCCCATTGTTACCGCTTTTCAATTGCTTTGGTAGACTGCTAGCAAAGTTAAACGCATCTTTTATTGTTTTAGGTATTTCATCGGGTATGACATCTCCCATCAGATTAAAGCTATAACTGTTTGTTTTTTCAGTAAAATTAACGTCTAGTTTTCCAGATAAACCGCTTTTTATTGATGCCACTACTAAATTAATTTCCGCTTCCATACTGCCTTCAATACCAATATTTGTTGTATCAGTTATGTTAGTATTTTCTACCGTAAGAAACAATTGTCCGCCCGATTGAAATCCGGTTACCACATGCGTGACACCTATTTTACTCAATAAATCCCAGTTTACATACTTTTTTAGCCTATCATCGGTTAGGCTAATGGATTCGTATGATGTCTTTATATTCTCGATTAATGTCACTTTAGCACTGCTAGACTTGGTTTTTATGTCACCAAAAAAACCGGCCGTTCCCGTCCCACCAATTGGTAAACCAACTAGATTTAATTTAAATTCAGCGCTAATATCCAATCCAATCAGTTTTTCTTCTAATGTATTTTTGTAGACAAACTTGATGTCCGATTTGAAATTATTGCGTTTAATAATCAGATTGTCCGGTAGTTTTGATATATTAAATAAATGTACGGCAATAAACTTATCAGTTCGGCAAT